TTTTTATATTATAATAATCAATAAAATTAAAATTTATCTTTTTTACTATATAAAAATATTTTTTGCATATTTTGCATAATTTTTAATTTTGCATCGCACGAACCCGTGGGCTCTAATGTAGATCAATTTGTAATACAAAAAAAGGGTCTAACTATATTTATTTTGAAGATCAACATCAGTATTACTTATTTAAAAAAATATTTAAATATGATTAAATAATAAATAATGGTGCGTTTTTTTTGGAAGCCACTGTATATCATATCACGGGAATTAGTGAAATCGACACGCTGATAGGTTCGACTAATCTAAAATTTCTGACCAATGGTCAACATGTCACGTGGAATTTTTCTTTTTTGTTTTATACAAGGTGCTGATTTATTCAAAATTTTCGAATTCACTTAACAAAATGTAATTTTTTTTTTTTTTGTAATTCAGGAAAAAGTTTACGAAACGGCATATAAACATTTTTTTATTTTTTCGATACACCATCCACATGCCAGAAATGTAGACAAAGCTTTATTGATATCGACAAGCGACACAATAATCATGTGATCTTCATGTGTTAATGAGTAATACAATAGCATCGGAATTATAAAAACTTTACTTTTCATTAGCTTATTCGTTTTGTGTTGCGAGACTATTTGTATTAATCGCGAATAAATAAAAAACCCAGGTACATACAATCAATGATTAAAACATGGCATTTTTATCACAGCTCATGAAGGTGGTAAACGCAATATATAAGAACTGACTGGATCAATAGGATCAGGCTTGCGAGCCTTTGCTACTTTAAGTCTTTGCAAAGCGCCCAATGATTTGACTAACTCGTCTCGAAAGCAAAACATGGATCTGAGGAGATCATATAAATAGTATAAATCAAGTACTCTGCTTGGTAACGTGAATTGGGACAATGTTCTACGGCAATAAAGTCCACGATCAACTATATATACTTCAGAGATCAAACAATTATAGCCTGTAAACAACATAAATTGTGAGTTAAATTCCAAAGGATTAAAATAAACATCATTAGAACAAAGTGCGCAAAAATAAGGAGTAAAGTTTTACCTTTTGTTTGAAACCCAAATACCTTGAATTCCTTAGCCAGTGTAAATTCACACGTTTTATATTCTTCAAGAAGGTTGTTAAGAACATCTACCATGCACCGATCAAGTTTGACCTTATCTCCTTCTGGATGTCTGGTTGGAAGACGAGTAGGGGCTCCGGACAATTCAAATATTAGAAGTTCTTTGTCATCGGCATTTACAATAGACCCAATACAATCTGACTTAGATCCGATCCGTCGTCTTTTTCCTTCTGATAGATTAAAGTTTCGACGGGTAGCTGAAGATGAACTCGAAATCTCTCCCCTACAATATTCTCATTGGTAAGCCAAAAAAGGTATCAAACAGTCAATTACGCAGGGAATCCATCAAAAAAGGTAGTTCACTTACCAATTTAAATCCATGAGGTCCTTGAATATAAAAATAAATGGTTCCATAATTGGTTCTATAAACCTTGCTCGGAATGTTCCCTCAGTGGTTGGTCGTTGTGCGAAGTATTCAGGTCGATTTTCAAGACAGAAAATACTGTCATTTCAATATTATTAGTAAGATAAATTCAGTTATTCATACAGCATAATACCAACAGCACTTACAAATGATCAAAGACTTTATGTGTATATTTTTCTTCGTCAGTTTCGTCTGTTTTGTAAGAATTAATTGATTCTCGTATTTGTTTAATACTGATATCTTTCAAATAATTGTCAATTTGTTCCTCCACAGAAGAAGGTAGACTTGTTGATATATTTGAGGAGGAAATGATAGTTTTCCAGGCATCAATTGAGCAGAATGCAGGTTTAGTTTGTTCCGATATATTATCCAAATCAATGATATAGGCATAATTTTCTCTATATAAAAGAATGGAATAATTTGAATTGAAGGTCAATTGGACAAGCGATAAAAAATCTCAATACTTACTCCTCGGTGCTTTCCTCACTATCATAATCCTTTGCGTGCGAATCATTTGAATCATCTTGAGTTTTATCATCATCCTCTGCGTGCGAATCATCTGAATCATCTAGTCGAATCGGATTATTTCTATTTTGGACCTAAACGAAAAAATAGGATATATTTTAAGAGAAGATCTCAAAATAAATGATTTATTAATGCATAATATATAGAAAGTATTCACCAGTTCCGAGAAACCTTCGAAGTGCATAGAAAACAGTGTGTTGCCGAGCTCACGTTTCTTCTGCCGATCACTGACCTCTTCCCAAAAGCTGACCACGGCCCGTGACTTTTGTTCTTTCTATTAGAAGAGAAAGTTAATGAATCTGAATTTTAAAACGATTAACGGGATTGAGCAAGGGACTCAAATAAACTATGGTGCCAAAACAGAGGATGGCTCAATAGAAGAAGGAACCCTGAAAAATGTGAGCGAAAAACAGAGGATTCTACCACACGTGAAAACAGAGGATCACAGTGGCTTCACGTCTTTCCGCTGGTAACACTCTCTGAAAACAGAGGATCTTGACCTGCATCCAAAACTGAGGATGGATGTAGACGGAGTGTTCCAACTTCTGCTCAATCCTGTACAAAAAATTACCCTTAAATAAAATTATCACGACCTTAAAGTTGTCGACGCTTTTCTTCGCAAGCTTTTGAATAGGTATTGAAAAATGTTTTTTTGAGATTTCGTTGATAGCGTTGATCCACTTTCTATGTACGCTTTTTTTTTCGCGAACTTTAAGAGTGCCACAATCTAAGCTACATAAATATTCGAGGAGGCAGTTTGACACGTCAGGCTTCTCTAAAATCTTTACAAATGGTTCCCATTCTTTGCGCGAAGCATTTTTGCGTTTTGGCATTTTTTTTTTTTGTGTAATCCAATCAGTGTCGTGTCAGATATCGTATATATATTGATATTGATCAATCATGTGACTCGAAGTCTTACCCCACCCCCACGTGATATGCAGTATTTGTCACCCAGTGTCACGCCTCCCTGAATTCATTTTTACTAATTTTTGTTTCACTCCCCCTTAAATGCCACCGGTCACGTGGGGCGAAAAATTACTTATAAACTTTGGGAAGTTAAATCTGAGTTTCTAAGCTACATAATTACCAGAAAGTAAGAAATGACGTTATTTTTTTGATGACTTTCCATTTTTAGCAATTAATAATATACTTAATTTTGGCCAAAATTATTTTATATATTTTTTATAAATCTTTATATAAAATTATATACATATATATAAAATATATTATTTATATATTACTAGTAAAGACATAATATATTATATAAAATTAATGCATTACTGTAAATATTACATTTTTCAGTTTTCCTGATGATGTTCTATCTCCTCATTACGCAGTTCCGAATTACTAATAAAAAAACGCATCCTGATTTACATGCGAATCGTAAGACAGGGCGTCGTTAAAAAGAAATGAAAAAATGGAAATAGAGCGATGATTTACAAATCCTCGGATGAAACGGAAGATTTTATTATCCTACTAGCGTTGCATTCAAATTACATGATAGACTAATCACTTATTATCCCGTTTTGGGATAAAAGTAATAGAAATTAGTCCAGCATAGAGCAATAGGGGCATATCAGCCAATCTACATAATAAACGGTAGATATGCCATTACTTTAGCATGTTCATCGGATTTTCTTTTTAGGATCTAAGACATAAATGGTATATTTTGAGATACGATATTTCTCCATTAGATTTTCCCTTTAGCTACATATCAAAATGGGCCTTCTTATGTACAAAGAAAAAATGGCCACTATTACTTTGACTGAATTTCAAGTTTATAATACAGAAAAAACTTCTCGAATTCTTAAGAAGTGAAGAACAATTGCATCTCATACAAGAAGATTTTTACATATTAAAAAATGAAAGAATCTGCGGTGGCGATTTCTCGAGTTTACAATGGAAGAATTTCTTAGCTTTGGAATGAAGAGTAAGAGACTTTCAAAATTTACGAATGAGTTAAAAAATGAGCTTGGTAAGTGATTAAGGCTCTTGTAACTTTAATACCATAAAATTGTTATTAATAATGGTTCGATTTTATTTTTTATAGAACAATTTGAAGAAAAGTTAAAACAATCCAGAAATCAATTGGAATATGACAATACGGATTATGACAACAGCGTTAAAAAAAGTTCTCCGCCATTGATTCCAAATTTTAAACGACTTAACGAAGGAACAGAGAATAGAAGTTGTAATGATGAGGATTGTAATGGGGGATTTGATTCTAATTAGTATAGGAGTATCATATATGTTATGTAGTATGCAGTCGTTAATATTAAGTTTCCAAGTCTATTAATAAAAATTTGATTACACATTGTATCATGATAACTGCAATGTATTTATTTTTAGCGCAATACGATCTATTAATATAATCCAAGTTGCATTCATTATTTTTTTTTTTTTGCTCGAAAGTTATGACATAATAAAAAACCGTCCCCGGATTTGTATGTCGTACACTCGCATGATGATTAAATTTGTAAAATAGATCTCGGAATGTATTATTCTTTTGACGTTAGCGCATCCAATATTACGCGTATAAACTATTATTCCGATATTTCTTTTTTGCGAATACATAGAATAGGGGAGGGGTGGCACAATTTCAATGAATAGGAGCAATCACTAATATGTCATCGACCAGTTCTTCGTGATGCGATCATCCAAAGGCGTTATTCCGAAAGCCCTACCGATTCTAGACCTAGTGTAAAATTATATAAAAAGTGTCCGCCCCAGTTAGTGAATCTTTTATCCGGCTTGTGCAATAATAAAAACGAAAAATTAAATGAAACATTCAAAATTACCATAATTTACATCATCGGTATTTACAATCAAACGAACGAGTATAATCCGCAAAGTAGTAATAAGGTATGTTGGTTTATTGCTCAGCTAGCTTCTAGAAGAACATCATCGCGATGCTAATCATTTTTTCTGGCTTTATAGATGTACAGAGTCAAAGCGGACTATTGATCTTCTTTCTAACACATTTGATCGCTGAGAAAATCAATACATGTCTCGTTATCGTATCTCACTTGATTTTTATCACATGCCGCGAAATTTGGCGCAGTATTAGAAAGTCCGGCGCAGTATTGTAATATCAGTAAGAATTCTATCAAAAAGAATTCGCAATAAATTTCCTGGATGTAAGGCAGGATGGAATGTCTCAATGTCCAAAACAAAAGCTACAATGGTAAGAATATCTTTTTGCCTATTTACCTCAAAGTGATTTACCTCAAAGTGAATTGCCATTGCTAACCTCCCGAATTTATGCTGTAGGTTTACACCATCTCAGGGAAGTCCTCTTGCGGAATTTAATTCTTCATACGATCTGTGTGAATGGGAGTGAGACGATATGCGAAAATTTTATAGATACGGGTCTAATGGATTATTTAAGAAGTCTGGTGAAGGTGTATTAGTCTTATCGTTAGCAGATATAAAATTCTCATAGTTAGATATATCGATAGAAAAAAAATTAGCTATAGATATTTTCCGAAAATGTGAAAGAGCAAAAAAAAATGTGATGCTGGGACTCGTATTAAATGGCCTAGTGTTACAATGGCAATTAAATTATTACGCATGTGATCATGTGATATAATAATATTTTTAATAAAAATTATTTAAACTATTAGCAACCCCCGATTGTATTGTTTGCATTGTTTGCTTAATAAAGTTAGTAATTTTGAAGATCAGCGTAGGAATTGACTGGTCAAAACGATCTCGTCAATTTGTCCTCTGGGCAAATTGTCCCAGCGAAAATAATGTATAAAAGGGATGGGTTAGAAAAAAATTAGTGCATATGATATTTTTAATAAAATATAATTTCTTCGATATTCCTTTATTTTGATATTTTTAATGATTGTAGTAATATCGTAGGATCAACATTTAATAAAATTAACGCCACAAAGTACAAAGCGCCGACGTTTGAGGCAGTGCTGATTTATTAGTTTTTATTAAATAATTTTTGCATAATTATTATCATTATTACATAATTAAAATATTATACATTCTTTATAAATATGAACTCTAAAGAACTGAATGCAACACTAGGATCCGCGTACTCCTCCCTCTTTGATAACATCATAGCTTCTCTAACATTTTCCAATTTTGAAATTATAATAAAATTTGTATCTTACTACGAATAACGCAAAATGACAATTTAAATCATACTTTGAGAAAATAAATTGAATCAAAATGTTTCAACATTACTCATTTTTTTTTTAATGATTAAAATAAATACTGATTTTAATACAAATCTCATACTTCGGACTTACAAAACGCGTAGACGTGCTCACATAACTTGATAATAAAATCATATATAAATCTCACGTTTTTCATTTTTATTTTTTATCTTTACTTTCTTCCTTCCAAAACCAAAACCTTTATAGCTACAACTAAATAAATAAAATAAGATGGAATTTTTAGAATTTCTCGACCGTTACTTAAAACATTTTCCTGAAGCAACACCTGAACAAGTTAACAAAGCCTTTCAAATTAGCAGTAAGTTGGTTTTACTCGTCAAAAGACCTATTATTCTTGCCCAGTAACTAACTTTGCCTTTTTTGGTCTCCTGCTAACCCAATTTAGATGAACATCAAGGTAAGCCTTTGCGTCGTAATGATTGGTCAACTCGAACGTGACGCGTTAACATAACTATTTGGATTTTGTTTCGTTGCAAATCCATAGAGTCAAATGAATTTGACAAGAAGCAAAAATTAAGTAAGCTCTTGCAATGTGTAAAATGAGTCCCAGAATCCGTAACTAATGACTTTTCATATTGTCACGTCACCTATCAGACCCGTTGTTTGAGAGCATTTATAATATAGTAAAGAGCCAGAAGGACCAACTTCTTGAAATGCAACAAGACCAACAAAAAAATAATGTTATTGAACATAATGAAGAGCTTGCGGTGATTGAAAAGAAAATACTTTATGTGAGAAAATCATATAAGAATCTTTATGATCAACTGAAAAAGAAATCAGGTTGCGGTTTAAAGAAATTCCTTATCACCGGTACATCGGGTATCGGAAAATCATGTTTCCTAGTTTACGTCTTAATGCAACTTTTATGCGAAGATGTCGTTGTAATTTTTCAGCCTCTCGACGGTCAAGATTTCTATTGTTTCAAGGATTAAACAATAGCCTGTGGAACATATAATGATTTCGAATTTTTACTCAATTTAACTACAACTTGGTACCTTGCAGATGGTAAAACATCCCCAGAATTAGTATATGAAACAACAGTTGTCTCCTTATCACTAAATGGAATTGCAAAAAAAGACTTTCAAGAATTTGATAAGCGTCATCCAATTCAATATTATATGGATCCGTGGACATTAGAAGTAGTGCTCCTAGCCGGTCGAGTTGACCCGGGTCATTCACAGATAGCCAGATGATATACATCACAATTATCATTACAAATGGACCTCTCTCTATGTGTTCGAGAAAAACTAGAAGAGACAGCATAGATTGATTGCTTGCACAAAATACGACTTATGCAAAATCCTTATGAGGCTAACATAAGAGGATTTTTATTTGAGTGTTATATAATCCACCTATTTTGTACTAAAAACCAGAAATTTGAAGTAAGAATGCTGATAGGTGAAGAAAAAGATCAATTTTTCTTACTTTATAAGCCAGAAGCTGGATTTGTAAGAAATTTATCTGATTTCTTAAAGTATTCTGAAGAAAACATAGTTATTGTATCAGATAAATAAAATTTTAGTGCGGTAGATAAGGTTGCTGGACGAAATCAAGAGTTTAGACAGACATCTAAATAGTAAAAGTAAAACTTGGTTAAATTATATTAAA